TGGTTGAAAGCCTTCATGTCGGGGAGGTTCCCAGTGCACAGGGCAGGGCAGAAAATGGATGGGGGTGGGGGTAGAGAGCAAATGGAGACCAGCTCGCACAGCCTCTGAGGTGATGGGAAACAACTTTTCATTGTCTGATGTTTCAGAATTTCTCTAGCACATTCTTATTCATTTTCCTTCTCACTTCCCACAACAGCCCTAAGAACAGATTCTTGTCTCTAGGAGGAAACAGCCTCAGAGAGGTTGAGCAATGTCTCTGAAATCACACAGTAGGGAGCTAATTCATTCTGCCTCACTGCAAATTTTGCCCCCCACTCCTTCCCTCCTGAAATAGAGGCTTGGATGCAGAAAGTGATAGTCTGGGCTGAGTGTTCTGAGAGTTTCCTGGTGTGAAAGAACTCTGCCTGGAAGCTTCTGTGGGGCCAGGAGGGAGGTCCTGCTCATGGGTGAAGATTTGGAGCACTCGGGACACCTGGCCGATTAGATCATAACCAACTACTCAAGAAACAAGTTTCTAATTTTGACGGGGCCTCCTGACCCCTGGATCTGATGGAGGGTTGGCTGAAATCCGTTGGAGCAGGAGCTGAAAAGGGAGACATCATTGCTGAGTTGGGATCCCCCCATCCTTCCCATTTGCCCACATGCCTACTGGTTCCAGGGTACCAGCCTTACTCCCCCTCCTCACCAGGCACTTGCACCCCAGTCACAAACACTGTAGGAGGCCAGGGACTGGCTGGGACATGGTTGGTACACCTTGAAGGGCTCTTGGGGAGCTCCTGACTTTGAATTCTGATGTGGCAAAGGGGTAGAGTGGTTGAAAGCAATTCCTTGAAGCGACACCACAGAGGACATCAACGTGCAGGGAGAGTCCTGAGGGTGGGAGGCTGATGTGGGTGCTTGCATGCCTATGTGTGTACATGTGCATGTGCACACTCGTGCAGCAAAACACAGCAGGTCCTTGAATATCATCCTTTCACCCAATGTCATTTTGTTATAAGGTTGATGAGATAAATACAATCCCAGGGAAGGCTGAACAAAAGAACCCGAATGTCAAGGTCGTTAAGTAAGGGCTTACTGTGAGAATGAGAGAGAGAGAGAGAGAGAGAGAGAGAGAGAGAGGAAAGAAGAGGAGGAGAGAGGGAGGAAGAAGGAATTTGCTAGGGTCAAGGATCAAAGGGGGCAAAGTCAAAGTGGATGGGCCATTGAGGGGATGGTGATGCTAGCTAACATCTATATAATATGTACTATACACCAAACCTGTCACAAATCCTATCTATCTATCATCTATCTATCTATCTATCTATCTATCTATCTATCTATCTATCTATCTATCTATCTATCTATCTATCTTCTTTTAATCCTTATAACCAATTTAGGAGGTTGTTACTATTATTCCATTTTACAGACAAGAAAACTGAGGAACAGAGCCATTCAATGATGTGCCCAAATCCTGAAGCCAGGAGTTGGGCCCATACCCAAATCCTAACCACTGAGAAGCACTGTCTGTCTGCCAGACTTGGAGGGTGTCTCTGACTCATGCTTTGGATCCCTGAACCACAACTTTGATCCTTTCTATCTTTGTCTCATGCTTTGATCCCAGAAGGACTTATTTTTTTTTTGGGGGGGGATGTGAAATTGACCCCATAAAGCCCAAGAGTCAGGAAGGTAGTGGCTTCTGCCACACCCATGGGTCACTGAGGAGGGTAGGGGAGCCTGTGGCCATGGTGGCCACGACAGTGTGCTTGTGCAAAATAGTGAGGGCACTGCCTGGCCCTGGATTCTCCCCTGGTGGGGCCACGGGCAGGGGAGGCAGGAAGTCAGAGGCATGGCCAGTGGACACACCAGGAAATGGCCTGGGGTGGGGGGCGGATATTGATTTCTCCCCAAATGTTTTTCATTTTCTTCTTTTTAAAACATCCTTGTTCGTTTTTATTTATTTTTCATTTTCTTTAAGTAGCATTCCCATTTCTAAAACACTCAAACAGGATTGTATGGGAGCTGAACGTCATTCATTCCTAGGTCTCAAATACCAGAGGGTTGCGAGGCACAGTGGTTGGGCTCCCTCCCTGGTGTGCTGGGGCTTCAAGTTCCAAGTTCCAGCGTTATCGCTCTGTGAGCTGTGTATCCTTGGGCAAATTGCTCCACCTCTCCCAACCTTAATTTCCTCATCTGACAATTAGGGACCATCTCAGCACATATTTCATAGGTTTGTATGACGACTATGTTGGCTGAGCCAGGACATGGCAGCTGTAGTTATGATTATCCAGGTCGGGTGGAATGACCTAGAACGAGGACAGTTTCTGAGTTCTCTTTGCCCAAGTCTCCTAGGAACCCTCTCCCACTGTCTCTAGCAGAGTGGACACAGCTCTGCTTTTGGACCTGGGAGGGCGGGTCAGGCAAGAAGGGGAGGCCCGTCTGGTCAGGGAGGGGTACCCGTGGACCTTCACTGCCCGGCAGCATTTTTCTGTCAGACCCCTTCCCTCTCCCAATTACTCAGGCCCCTGACTCTTTCCCGAAGTCCTGGAACAGTTGGCCAACCATCCAGGTTGAAACTTGGAGGCGACTTGCCCCTGTGGAGATGTGGTCTCCCCAGGTAGGGGCTGAACCTGCCACTTAGTCTTTCCCCATGGCTGCAGGTAGTGACCCCCCTCAGCCTACCTCCCTTCCAGCCCCAGAAGTGGCAGAGGCAGTCCTGGGGACAGGGCAGGGCTCAGCGGGGTCCCCCATTGTCCCCAGGAAGGGGTGAGCAGAAGATGGCTGCTCACCTGTCTGCACCCCGGCCCCTGCCCTCTGCCCTCTCCCTGGGGCCAGGGGCCTGAGCCCTGGGCTGGGTTCAGCTCCTACTCCAACCCCAACTCAGAGAGTTTGCTGGCAGCAGCGTAGATGACTTTGGTGTAGTTTCTGTGGTTTAATAAGCTACAAAAACGACATTATTTTAAGCCAATCTGGATATAGCACAAAAACTCTCACCCCGTCTGTTCTGTGAAACTCAGATACCCTGACGAGAACACAGCTCACAACCAACTAATACAATATTCTACTGGGCTCGCTGTCAGCGGGCCCCACGCGGGAGCCGGCTCCCCGAGGACTGCCCAGGCGCGTGTGCCGCAGGCAAGGCAGGCCGGGGAGGGAGGCGGCGGCCCGGGCACGGCGAGGAGGCGGAGGGCCGAGGGATAGCCTCGCCGGGGGCTGCCTCCTCTCCTGGAGGAGCTGGGGCGTCCGCGGCCCCTCTGGGCTCCCCGCCCCCTTCCACGGGACGAGGAGAGGAGAGGAGTGTTTCTGGCCTGCTGACAGCAGTTCTACTCCCACAACTTGCATATGTCTGATTCCGAAGCAGGGAAGTGTGTCCAACACACCCAATGCAAAGACAGGTTGTTGAATATTTTTTCTCTCATCACTAAAAAGGATTCCCTGCTGGGTGCAATCAAGATCCATAAACTCACGGCTCGAGTCGGTGTGAAAGCAGCGCTCCAGCCCAGACTCCCTCGCTGGCGCTAAATGCAGGCTCCGGGCGGAGATGCACAGACATCCGCTAGCAGTCTGGCCTTGCGACCGGCAGTTCCCGGCACATTAGGCAGTGCGCTTATTTTGGGCTCCGCTTCAGTGGATTAACTTTCAGTGTAAAGTTTCGGAGCTTGGGCATCATCCCTGTGGCGCTGCCTCCTTCTCTTTTGGTGGGTACCGCGCTTTGCAGAGCCAGAGACCAGGGAGACTGGCTGAAAAGGGTTTCCAGCAGCAGTGGGGTTCAGCCCTGGGAGGGGAAGGCCGGCCAGGCAGAGGCCCCCTGCTTCTCTGCGCCTTTTCCCCCAGGGCCCCTGCTCAGCCTGGAGAGCACAGCTTGCTGACCTGGACTCCCTAGGGTGCCCAGATGCCCAGTGTCTGACTCCCTCCTAGGCAGACATGGGACTTGCCAGCATTGGAGGTCTTTGGGGGGCTGGACCTGGGGGAGCACCTTCCTTTTTCTGCTGGTGGCAGCAGACCTGATATCCAGTACCCCTTCTCAGCTGGGCCACTGACTGCCCCCACCCCACTTGCACACACACCAGGACTTGGACTGTTTGTGTAAAGACAAGAGTGCCTTTTCTTTCTGAGATGCCCTTCTACATTCCTCAGGTAGGGAGACGGAGGCCAAAGAGGAAGTGGCAGGGGTCTAAGTTGGATGGTGGGGGCTCCATCTGGGAGTTGGGGGGTGGGGAGGAGAGAGGACAGGAGGGAGAGGAGAAAAGGGGACAGAATTGGCCCCTCAAACTCCTTTCTGAAGGAAGAGCTTGGGGTTCTTGCAGAAACTGAGGCACCTCTCCCCCTGCCCCTCAATGCCAGTTCTCTAGCAGGTACTTTCAAATTCAATGCTTTAAAAACTCTAGTTCCCATGAATTATTAAGAAGCAACTAATACAAGTAGTCTCCAAAAAATTCCCTACTCTTCCCCCAGCATCCCATTTTCTGGAACTATCTGATGCATCATTTTAAATCAGAATGAGCTTTAGAAACGGCGCGTGCGGGGTGAAGGGCTGCTGGGGTGAGCCCTGAAGTCCTACAGGGTGGAATCTATTACCCACTCACTCATTTATCTAGAACATACCATCGGTGCTGACTCTGTATATTACTGGCTGGGGCTGTGGGGGCATAAGCGGCACAGGAGGGGAGAACACCCCCCATCCTTACATTCCTTCATTCATTAGCACCGCCTGTGAGTCAGGCACTGTGTCTGGGTGCCCAGTGCAAGCAGATGCAGTCTGAGTATAAAGAAGAATGTGAAGGAGGGAAGAGGGTTTCGGAAGAGGGGTGCTGCCCTGTCCCCTCTCTCCCAGCTGCACACCCTTCTGAGAGTTCCACCAGCTTTTGGGAGCTGATGGGGTCATTCTGTCTCCAAGTTCCACCAAGGCAAACATAAATGATGAGAGATGAAATATTGAGGCAGTTTTGGGGAGCCCGGGATTGGAAAAAGAAAACCCTTCTCATGTCTCATAAATCATAAATCTCTCTCTCTCTTTTTCTCAGCCCCCTCCCCCACTCCCTCCCGCTCTCCCTCTCCTCAAGAGATCAGCACATTGCAAAGACAGGTTGTTGAATATTTTCTCTCTCATCACTAAGAAGGCCTCCCTGCTGGGTGTAATCAAGAACCATAAACTCGCCTTGCAGCTCCAGTCGGTGTGAATCCAGCCCCACTCTGCTCGCCTCGATTCAGACACGCTCAGGGCCGGCTGACAGCAGGTCAGGCTGCTCTCCCAGACGCACCCCATCCCTGAGGGGCTGTGGTGAGGGGGGCTGGGGCTCCCGGAGTCGCTCCTGCAGGCCCTGTAATGACCGGGCATGGAATTCAGGGCATCTCTCTTGAAAGGTCAGGAAGGAGAGAAATCAATGCCTGCAGACAAGGAGTCAGGGCGATGACAAGGGCCACAGGCACGCTTGACCTTCACCCTGTGTCCTCAGGTCCCCTGGGGAGGAGGCAGGAGGCAAGATAGCCTTTCGAGCCTGGTAGCTCTTTCCAGCGGGCCACCTGAACTGATGGAGTGGCTTCTGTCTGGTTTTCAGAAACATTCCTTTCACGGCGGGAGAGGGCATGCACCTGGTGTTGCTCCAGAGGGCTGGGGGCAAGCTAGGGCTGGGGGTTCGGGGGACCAGAATGAGAGAGGGGAGAGGAGAGGAGAGGCCCCAGGGAAACTGGACAGCTAAGGCTGGGCAGCTAAGCGTGCCATCGGCTCTTTGTCTGAAATCCATTATCCAGATTGGGCACAGTTTACAGATGCAAAGCTGGGAAGGAGCTTTTCTCACCTTCCCTGACCTTCTGCCTCTATCTGCCTCTGTCTGATGTCACTGTCACTGCCCGAACCCCCTGGCCAGGTACCTTCTTCTCTGCGTCTCTATGTCCATTGTGATCTTTCCAAAACATGAACTGACTCTAACTTTCCTCCCTAAAGTGCTTCTATGCTGCCTGGTTGTCTGCAAAAAATGAACCATGGTGAACAACCAAGATCAACCCCCAATATTTCTTTCAATTCCCGTGTCAGGGGGCAATCTTTCTGGGCACCTGAGCAGTTTCCCAAATATTCTGTATTTTCTCACCTCCATACCTTTGCCTTTTCTGTTCCCTTGGCCAGGCCATGCCCTCTTCTTTCTGGTGAATGCCTACTTGTCTTTCAAGACCCAGTAGAAATGTCTCCTCTTCCAAAGAGCCCCCTCTCTGACTCCACAGACAGAGATGATCCATGTCCCCTGGGCAATGTGTTCAATTCACCCCTTCCCGCCTGTGTTGTGATTGTCAGGTCAGTGTCCCTCTCTCCACTGGCCACGAGCTTCTCCTCTAGGGCTGGACCGAGTCTGATGCAGCAGTCCTGTGTGTGCAAGTCAGGCCCCTGGCTGGTTGGGGTGAATAAAATCGGAAGTTACATCACCAAGTTTCAACATTTCTTCTGTCTGTTCCTGAGTCGTGTGTACCTGAGTGGGCACATCTCCCCCTGCCCCTTCCCCTCCCCGTCCTCCCAACCCCACAGGGACCCCTTAAAGGCAGGATGGAATCTGGAAAGTAGAATGCAAAGTGGGTACTGGTGAAGGTTGGTGAAACTGGGTTTGGATGTTGCTAACAAGAACCAGCTTAGACTTAGTACGGAGCTCCAGGGGCTCTCTGAAGGGTTATTGGGGTGGTGGTGGCGATGGTGATGGTGTGGCTTCCCACAAAGGGTGTGGGAATTTGCTGTGCAGGACCCGGATGCTCAACCTTCACTGGGGGTGGCGTTGGGGGGAGTCTTTCCAGTCAAGCTTGGAAGGGCTGCTTCAGTCCCATACACCCTCTCAGTCACACCAGCTAGTGGGGGGCCTGGCCTGGGTTCTTTTCCTAAGACTTCCAAGTGCCGTATTTGTCCAGGAGCAAAAGGGACAGCCCCGACCCTGCTGGGCCTCCTGTCTCTCCAGGGAGGCCAGGATCAGGGACGCACACAAAGTGAAGGTTTCCTCGGGCAGACAGCGAGCCCGCCCTCCCGCCTTTGCAGAGGCCACGGAGATATTGCCCACCAGCTTCAGGGCTCTCATAACTCTTTCAAGACAATCACTTTATTTATATGAGTTTGTTTTAAAAAACCCACAGACGATCTACCGTGGGGACCTCTCCTACTGCCTCAGCTTGATTCTCTCCTCTCCTCTGAGTCCATAACTCTTAGTCTTTTGATTCTCCCAGTCCACAAACTATAAAAATCTTATTTCTATAAGGTCTTTTATGGTTACCAAGATAGTCAATAGTGTCATTTTCATTCATATCATTCTGCAGGGAAGTTAGAGGAAACGAACCAGACAGAGGAGAGCTATAAATAAGGCTCAGCTACACAGGCCCCGAGCGGGTCTCACTGCGTTCTTTTAAAACAACTCATACACAGAACACACACACACACACACACATACATTATACATGTATGCACACAAATGTGCACACACATGCCCACTTCTGTGTAGAGACAGGTGCATGTGAGCTCACGCATGCACACAGGGTGCTTGCATGCATGGGGCTCATGTGCACACGTGCACACACGCATTTGCAGGTATGTGCTTACACAACTTGGCAGTCTGAGAAGGAAGCCTTGATGAAATTTGCCTGGCTTTGCAGGGCCAAGAGCAGGCAGCAGCTCTCTCTGTGGCAAGATGGGGGGACTGAAGCTGGCCGCCTCGCGAGCACATTCCAAAGCCATGAACTGCAAGCTTAGGCACGCAGCCACCCATGAGCTCATGGAGGGCACTTTGGAATTCCCACCAACACAGGAGCCTGTGCGCCAGTCTTCTTGGCTGGGGCAGGGCTCAGTCAGCCCTGGGAAGGGCTCTCTTTGATGTTGGTGTCGTCCGAGGCCCAAAGCCTCATTCCTGGAGGACACTTAGACAGCTTCATGGATCTGACTTGTGTCCAGTTACCATACCACCCACCTCAACACCCCACCACTGTCCTACTGCCAGTGGCTTTGTCTTCTGGCAAGAACCCAAAGGAAGAGCCCAGGGTACAAGCTTGGCACGGGAACAAAACGCAGGAAAGCTTGGGCAGAGGGATAGTTGGAAGTCTATATGCTGGGGTGAAGGAGGGCCAAGCAAAGATGGGGGTAGCCCCAGGCCGAGAAGGGGGGAGGAGGCCTGCGAACCTCCTACCCAGTCTCAGTTCCCACCCCCGGGAGCAGGTGGGGGACAGACGGGGCTGCAGGACTGCAGCCTGAGACTGAGTCCTCGGAGGACTCTGGGCTCTTCAATTAGAGGTGCATTGGAGTGGGCGGCCACAGGAGTCAGGACACCTGGCTCCTGTGTGATGTTATGTAAGCACTTTCTCATCCATCTCTGGGCCTCTGAACCCCAGTGAATCCTAAGGATCAATGAGCTTTCAGGCCCCTCCTAGTTTTGGAGATGAAGGTGAATTAGCTTCATCCCACAACCGCAGGGCAGGTGTGTCCCTTAGTTTCTCCATCAGCAACATGGTGGTGAAGATTTTTGATGTTGGCAGCATCCCAGGGATGCCCCAAGGGGGCTGGGCAAAGGTCCAGAGGCTCAGATGAGCTTGTTTGGGAACCAGTGGGTTTGGAACTTAAAGAGATGCAACTCATCAGGGTGCCCGAGACCCTGAAAGGGCTCCCTGCCCACCCCCAGCTTGCTCTCCCTCTTTATTACTTTCCCCTTCCCGAAACACTGAAGAGCTGAGAATGGTGCCCAGGGCTCTGAGCTCAAGGCCTTGGAATTCCTCTATTTCCCCTCCTGCCTTCTTCAAGGGAACTATTAATTGTAATTTAAGCCTCCCAAGCTAAAAGCAGCGTGCAGATTTAAGGATTCTTCCATCCCAATTACACATCGTTTCTGGCTGCACTTCAGTGCCAGGCTTTTATCTGTTGTTCTGGGGAATCACTTATCGGCCAGAGCAGCGGGCTCCACACAGATTTCTTCCTGATTATGTTTAATGGCAAATGGAGAGTTAACCACCCTCCTCCCTGGAGCTGTGTCCCCGGTTCTCCCAGCTCAGTCCAAACAGCCCAGGGGAACAGGAGAGCATGGACTGGAGCAGCTGCAGAGACCTCTGCTTCTTGAAGTGGCAAGTTGCAGGAATTAGGGGAGCTGTGTGGATCAGGGTGGCTCAGGGGACATTCCATCCCTGCCCTCCAGGAGACCCAAGTGCTCTGCTCCAAAAGCCAGTAGCAATTATTTGTTGATTCTACACACTGCACAAGTATAGGTGTTATGGTGTGTCAGGACCTAAGCTGGCATCATTTATTCACTCATATCAGTATGTACCCAGCTGCCAGGCCACCGAGACGCTCAAATACACACTTGTAATGCCAGGGTGTGCCCAGTCCTTGCACCGGCCCAGCACATGCACACACACTCAGAAGCATGCACACACACACTCCCAGAAACGCCCCCCCCCACACATATGTACAGGAACTTGCATGTGTATACACACTCCCAGAAACATGTACACATAGAAGCATCCCCCTCCAAGCACTTATGCACACTCACAATCAATACTCCACTTCACAGTTACACACTCTATTTGCACAGACCCGCCTACTCTTACTTGCAAATGTGTGCGCAACTCAGTCCCATACATGCACACAGTATGCTGTTCTTCATCGTCACATGAGCCTTCTCTCCTTCTCTGCTGTCTGTCACTCACAGAATTAGCAGCCACAGGAGCTTGGAATGTCAGCATTATAGAGTCAGGCCCCTGTGCCATGGAGACCCTGCGGCCCCCTCTCCACTGTGTCCAGGAGCACCTTCTGTTGTTCCTAGTCGGACTGGACCCTGACACATAGCTGAGCTGCCTACTGGGTCCAGGTCACACTGACTAGATCTTATACATGCTTTCCGAACCTGCCGATTTCTCTTTCTGCTGCTCCTCTGCCACCACTGGCTGGCCTGACTAAGACCTTTCCTGGCCTTACTGCAGTGACCTCCAAACAGGCCAGGCTGCGCTTCCACACGGCAGCAGAGCAGGCTTCAATCAGGTCCTGCCACTGCTCTGCTCCTTTAGAGAAAGTTCAGTCTCCACAAGGGCTGTGAGTCCCTGGTTATCTGCCCCAGGCTCTCCCCCTCCCCAGCCCTCCTCACTGGCTCGATGGCCCTTGCTGCCCCCTTGCCTTGGGGGTCACCACTCCCCCTCCTAGAATCCTTCTCGCCCCTGCTGTTGAGGAGCTGCCTTTCCTCCTTCGTTTTTGCTTGATTTTTGATTCTTAATGAGCTCACCTTAACTCTTTTATTTAATTCTATAATCTGCTGCCCCTGCAGCCCCATCCTCCCCCATGCCCCTTTATCTGCCCTGTTTTTTCTTTTTCCCTCGGAATGTAGACTTCGGTCACAGTTGGGTGCGTTGGGAAACACGCAGATAAGGTTTTGCTGCAGGAAGTCTATGGGGAAGGCTCTCAGATCAAGACCTATGGGGAGTGGAGGAAGCAGAGCCAGGCAGAGGCAGAGCTGAGTTATGGCGCAGTCTCAACAAAGACGCAGCTGACCCCGCACTGCGCAGGGGCTTGCAGAGCTGCTCTGCATCTAGGCGAGGGGGCGGGGGGCCTGATAACCCCTCATGGACCAGATATTGGATACTCGCTGCCCCTGTGGAGGGAAGTGACCTTGGGGGAAAGCAGGGCATTCTGGAGGAGAGGGACTGGCTGGCTACCAGCACTCCCAGCAGCGGGGAGAGTGAGGGCTCAGGTCAGACGTGGGAAGTCTGGGCACCCACTAGACCTTCGAACATCGTAAATGCACAAATGTAAAGGAATTCCAGTTCCCGGTCATGTTTCTCTCTCCGGTAGAAGGTGAGTCCCAGGAGGGACAGGCTCTCTGTTGGCACAGCTCCTTTCCTAAGCACCAGAACAGGCTTTTCTGAATGAGTGGACCAGCCCGCCCATTGTCAACACCTTGCTTGTCTCAAGGTCATCGACCTTATTGGAACCACAGTTCCCATTCTGCTGTCAATCAGATGTGCAGCCGCAGGCAGACTGTCTAACTTCTTGGATACTTTGCTTCCTCCTTGGTAAAGTGGGATAATAGAAGTACCTGCCTCCCAGGGCTTGGTGAGGATGAAACAAGCCCAAGTTTAAAGCACAGCGCAGGTGACTGGAGTAAAACTGGTCATCAGTACATATTAATCATTGTTGGTGATGATGTTTGTGCCCTGGGCTATCCTAGACTTGGGCTGCGCCAGGATTCTGAGCAGACCCCAGTTGGGGTATATTGACCCTCCAGGAATACAGGGAGAGGAAGGCTCTGTTTCTGCAAGCTGGATGGGCAGAGGTCAGATTTTGGCAATGAGAACAGAGATCTGCTCATGAGAGGTGGTTGGGATCCCTGCCCCAGGAGATGTCAAAGTGCACCCACATGCATGTG